GTCCACAAAATCCTCACGTGTCCGCACGCGTGATCCATCGTGACAATAGGCCATTTTACAGTTGTGTACTTAGTTGCCAAGCCTTTGATTCAGAGTGAGGCTGAAGGTGACCTTGTTATGATAGAGACCTGTATCTACTTAGCATGATAACAAAGTGATTTAGCAAGGTTTGTATAACAACAAGGTCAACCCTAGCCTCACTCCCATTCAAAGGCTTGGCAACCAAGCACACAACTGTAAAATGGACTATTAGCTTAGACAACCACAAGATAATCGAATCTTTGTTCGCACGACCCCCAGAAACTATATTAAAATACGATCTGCTTCAATCGATTGCCCACTGAAACTCCCCCGCATGATTTGAAAATTTCTCTTCTTCTGCGCCCAGAACTTTGAACGTAATAATCATAGTTTCGTTGAAAAATAACACGAAGCTTGCGGCTTGAATCCGGCTTTCGATTTCAAGCATTACTTGAAAAACCTGTTTCTCTCTTTCATATGGCGGTCTGTCGTAAACAAGTCTCTTTTTTTGTGATTATCCATTCGAGAGATATTTTCTTTATCGAATGGACCCTTTTCCGTTTCGCATGTTGTAGAATCTATCGAGATCTCCTCTCCTTGAGACATGCCGTCAAGTCAGGATAAGGTATGTTTATATAAAATCTTTCACATCATCTAGAGAATCTCACGTATTATATTTTAGACGCAGTATTCAGCACCTCTAAATTTTATATTTTTACACTTGAAGCGAAAGTTATGCCAGATCGAGTTCGTTTCCAGTGACATTTAATCACAAGTTGCTTAGGATTGCCGTGTTCAAATCGAATAAATCGCTTTTTTTCTCTCTTTCCACCGAGGAAACCACTATTTATAATTGCAGTTTATACAAATGTAAATAGAAAGTGAACGAAGAAAAAAAACAGATATTATCTTCGGCTGTTGGTGATATCGGCTCTTCTCCTCTGAAAATATCGAGAAATGGTTTGAAAATCAAGAAATTGTACATTCGCGAATGCGTTCAGTGTACGCGCGATTTTCCCGTCTCACAGCGAGCGACTCGATCTTCGTTTCGAGGTTCGCTGATCGCTTTTCCTCTTTGCATGTTCAAATTCCCGCCGATCTTCCTTATCTTTGAAAACCAAAGCGTTTCAACCGCTTCTGTTTCCTCTCAAATCGCAGTCGATAGCGCTTTGAACAAAGACGATAGATTCGAAGAAACACAATATCCTAAAGCTTAACACTGGACTTGGGATGGGGTTAAAAATATTTTCCTGTGTGAAAAGTGAAATACCCGTTTCGAAAACTTACCGCAAGCTGGAAACTGATAGAAAAACCGATGTTCATGACATTATGATTTGGGTTTTAAAATTAATCAACTGGCCTGTGATAATGTTTACCTGTCTTCGAATCCGACCCCAATGAATTGCCACCGGCTGGGAACAAATAAATAACCGTAGGTGCTTCGTTTCAGTTGTCGAAGACTACGGCAGCTGCAAGTCTGAGAGGAGTTTTGGAACTTTATTTTATTTTTTTGTCCAATAAAGCCTATTTTTGTATTTCTGAGGCGTAATAAAATACTTTACCGCTCGCAAGTGGAGGCCTAATTAATTCAAATTTTCTTGTCTAAAGGCAAATAAATATTGATTAGAAAACTGAAAGGTTCTTCACTGTGAATATTTTATAAGTCGTCTTGTGTGCGCTGTGAGCTTTGGCCCATTCCCCGCGGCTTAAGCAGTTGGCCATGAATTCTCTTTGGGTTCAAGGGCATTCTTTGCATTTAACCGGAACTTCTCTCTTTCCCTTTTTCTTTTTAATTAACTTTACATATCCAGAGAGCTCCGACACGAGCGCGTGCGCTTATCTGGCAACTGACTTGTCATTAACAGCTTATTACATAACGACAGAAATTATTTTCACAGTTATTACATTCAACTGGTAACCAAAAACTGACGTCGGAATGGAAATCACCTGAGTTAAATTGAATCGAAGGAACGTCAACAAGATACGCCATTTATTCACATTTTGCTAATTTCAATCTAGTCAACAATTTGGGTTGCGAGATAAATTGCTTCGTACAACATTCTTCTTAAGACCGGGGTAACTTTGCATATGTCAGCGATCATTACATAACTGCTTATCATTCATCGGACGCCTCTATAAAGGAGCCGTGTCTGCACTGACTGCCTTTTGTTGACGTTATCCCGATCCCTAAGTTATTTTTGGGATTTTGATTACACATTATTCTTGAACAAAGACGTGTTTTCTTGCGAAATGAATTACCCCAGGCCCCACTATCAAATAACCTTGGAAATAAGTTATAATTGACGCTGTGTCGCTGCTTCCTCGTGCATTCCGGTCGTACTGTTTTCTTTTTCTTCGATTTCCAAGTTGCCTATGATTGAAAGCCCTGTTTGTAAGGCTTCCGATTATTTTCGGTGTTGCTTGAAAGAACGGCTCAACATTTCGTGATGTAGCCGGTAATCGAGTTAATGTACCCGCCGCCTTTGTTCTCAAAGACACGAGAGGACACGTGAGTGGCCTATGATTGAAAAGCTCTGTTTGTAAGGCTTCGATGTTGCTTGAAAGAACGGCTCAATATTTCGTGATGTACCTATCACCTTTGTTCTCAAACACGTGGGAGGGCACGTGAGCACTTTTAATGGTGTAAGTTACCACAGATGGGACATCAACGAAAAAGTATGCAAATTACTCGCGCTATCTTTTTAAAGCTTAACAAGCGCTGATTTTGGATACTAAATCAACTTTTAACAATTTTGACCATTACATAGAATAAAAGCTCATTCTTTCACGCCTCGACGCTAAGATAAGTTTATTTGACGACGCATTTTTGTGAACCCGTAGGTTTTTTTTTTTTAATTTTTTATTAGAACATGATCTGTACGTAGTGAACTAAAAAAAAGCATTAATGCGATTTGTCTTAGGCATGTTATTCAATGCGATTATTTTATTCCACTTCACCCCTATGAAGATTGTTATCTTATCACATTGGACCTAGCAAGGAAAGGTCATCAGCTTTGCATCTTCCTTTCTACTCTCAGATTGCATTTCTCTTTATATCTCCTAAAGTAAAAAAGATAACCAAATAAAATATTTCCAAAGTTGATAGATCTCTAATGTATATATATATATTTGTTTTTGTTTTTTTTCACTTTTTTTTGTGGAAAGATGAACGCTCTCCTCGCTCGCGCGCATTCGCACGATAGATTAACCAGTTAAACCGGTATATTTTCGACATAAATTAGAGACATCGAAAACCTTTATGACGCCACAACGGCCATTCCATTTCGTTTGTGTTCTTGCAGTTAGTTGAAGTTGACATGGGTAAAGAAAGCGAGGCTGTCGGCAATGGCGACACGACCACAAAAACTGTGACATGCGTTGTAAAGGTTTCTCCTGAACAAGATAGCTGTTGGTCCTGGTTGGTGTGTTTTGGAGCAGTCTTGTCAAATGTTATCATCTGCGGATTCACGTATAGTTATGGGATCTTGTTTCCTGCTCTCTTGGACGAATTTCAGCAGGGGAAAGCTAAGACAGGTAGGCTATGCCTTGAGGTTACTTCCCACCTTCGCGGGGTGTCCTTCGGGAAAAAGTTCGTACGCGCGCAAGTTTGAAGAAAACCCCAACAAACTATACATCAAAAGAAAGCGTAATAAATGCAGTTTACGACACAATTATAATTTAGGTGATATTTTCATTTAAGGAACGTCAGGAGCCGGTAAAGCGTGAAACGACCGAGGGTCCTTCTATTGAATTTATCGGGTATCGGATCCCGAAGCACAAGCAAAATGGCTGCACAGTATTATTCACAAAACATCAATCAACGAAAGTGTCTCAGGCTTTTCCGATATTCTGATTGGTTTTCCAGATATCCACATCTAAAGTTAGAGTAGCGTAAAATATGGGAGACGTCTTGCGGGAATGGACACCACGTGAAAAATATTTCAAATGTAAAAATTTCCTTACATACTTTCGTTCGTCATTACTCCTAGGTTTATTCATGATTTCATACGATTCGATGCGATTACTTATGTTTTTTTTTTGTTCCGGG